TAATATACATTTTTAATATATGATTGCCAAAAGCCTACTTACTCAGTACATTCCAAGTCTTTGATTTTTCTTTAATAAGAAAGTTCGTTGAGTTTGCTGGTATTACGAACATGGGATCAGCATTGGCAGCACCTGAAAACAAAAATAACGTCAAGGCCCTAGAGACCAGTTTCGATTTTCAAATTRCCAYTGTGTGCCTTAATTACAGACTCATTTATAAAAGGTTAGTTTCGTATCAGTGTTAAAAACCAACCATGCCCTATTTCTATTGTTTGATGTCGTGTTAGAATTTCGATGGAAAACCTGTCCCGGGTTTTGAATTCAGCATTGACACTGACAGGGGAGAGTGCATGGGGCTGAGACAATTTTTCCATCGAAATTCAAACCCGACATTAAACATTAAAAATAGGGCTTGSTTGTTTTTAAACCAGTTAAAACGCGCGTGCTCCGATTTGCATTGAAATTCAAGATCGAGGGCCGCRCAAACCCTCGCTCTAGTGTTTAACCTTTATTTAAAAAATCACAAATTATAACGGTAAAGTAAAGAATGCACAACTTCAACAATACAAACACTAACCCTGTGTAAATGAGTCTGTAATCAACAAACACAGCGGTCATTTGGAATTATCGAAACTGGTCTATCAAACGTTACGGTTTCTCGTTTTCCTTTTTACTCTTTTACGCTGGATCGGCATTATGCAAAGTTTTTGTTTGGTGGAATTTCAAAGTAATTGTATTGTTGTACAGTTGTACATGTGCATTCTTTACTTTACCGTTGGCATTTGTGAATAATCTGACTCCTGAAAAAATGAGTCAGTAATCAACAAACACAACATTATTGCTGGCTTCCACTTCTCGTGCGGAACGGTTCATCAGCTGAATCGCAAGTTTTCAATAGAATTATTTCTGGCTGACAGCACATGGTGGTCAGTGTTTGACCACCATCTGGAGCAGATAATGAGATTCAAAAACTTTTATCAGCTGATTGAAAGCTAGCAATTGTCAGAATTCAAAACGGGTCTATTTTTAGCCGTTCCGAGGYTGAGGAAAAACTGGGTCGAGTCGGCGTTGCAGTGCATTGTGGTACTGTTTTAGGGAACATATTTCCGAGATGGCGTCTATTTCGTCCTCTTAAACTGCCCCAAAATGCACTGCAAAGCCAACTGAACAGGGTTTCTTCCTCTACYATATATTACCATATTTGTTCCACTGTTTTGTGTAGTTCCCCACCATACGAACACATGTGCTACCATTGCCTTTGCATTTCATGCATCTGTCTTTAATTTTCCCCGAGCGAATCATGTTATCACATCCCACAGGCTGAAATATAGTGATTAATAATTTATAATTATCCTTTTAATATCCTCTATATCTCTGCGCAGCCATGTAATATCCTCTATATCTCTGCGCAGCCATGCAATATCCTCTATATCTCTGCGCAGC